ATGGACCCTATGTTCATTGCAGCATTATTTACAATAGCCAAGATATGAAAGCAACCTAAGGTGCCCACTAATAAATGAATGGATAAAGAAAATGTGGTATGTATATATTAATGTAATATTACTCAACCATAAAAAAGAATGAAATCTTGCTATTTAGAACAATATGGATGGACCTAGAGGGTACTGTGCTAAGTGAAATAAGTCAGACAGAGAAAGACAAATACTGTATGACTTCATTTATATGTGGAATCTAAAAAACAAAACAAATGAACAAACATAACATAATAAAGACAAAGTAATAGTAATAGAGAATAAACAGGTGTTGCCAGAGTGGTGGGGGATGGAGGGAGGAGAGAAGTAGGTGAGGGATATTATAAGGTACAAGCTTTCAGGTGCAAAATAAAAGAGTCATGGGTATGAAATATATGGTGTGGGGGATATAGCCAATAACTATACAATATTTTTGTATAGTGATATATCATAACTAGACTTACTGTGATGATCATTTTTAAATGTATAGAAATACAAAATCACTGTGTTGTGTAACAGGAACTAACACAGTGTTGTAGGTCAATTATACTTAAAAAACAAACTTATAGAAAAAGAGGTCAGGTTTGTGGCGACTAGAAGAGAAGCATGGCAGGAGGGAGAATTGGATAAAGTCAGTTAAAAGGTACACACTTTCAGATATAAGATAAATAAGCTGTAGGTATGTAATGCACAACAAGATAAATATACATAACACTGCTGTATGTTATACATGAAATTTAAGAGTAAATCTTAAGGGTTTTTATCATAAGAAATTTTTTCTACTTAATTTTGTATTTATATGAGATGGATGTTCACTAAATTTATCGTGATGGTCATTTCATGATGTATATAAGTCAAATCATTATACTGTACACCTTAAACTTTTACAGTGCTGTGTGTCAATTACATCTCAATAAACCAAGAATGATAACAAAAAAAAACTGAGTGTTTAGTTATAGTGTTTCTTACCATTTCAAGCCCCCTTTCCCATATATTATCCAACATGAAAAATCAAGTTGAATTATGAGTTTGGCCAACAGCCATCATTATTCTTTTTTTATGGAAGGTAATACAAAAGATCTGTCAGGGAAGTTAGGAATTTTGTTCAGGGACACACGATTAAATGACAAAAGGAAAATCTGATTCCAGGTTTCCTGACTTCTGTCTCCAAGCCTGTCCTCCCCGACTACCTAGGTGAGGTCTATCCCAGAAGTTGCCTAGACCACCTTGGTGTCAGAGGGACTTGAGGACCCCAGTACTTTGACACTGGTTTCTCTGAGCTCTGTGTGATTGCCAGTGGCCATAGTTTGGGTGGCATTTGCAGATGAGGAATTCTGATGACTCAGCCTTGGGGCAT